TTGTCTCTAGCCTTGGCTACCCACTTGACGACAATGCACCGCCCACCCCATCCGGCTATTTTCCGGAATCCGGAATGCCGTCGATAAAATATTAAGGGCGGCGGATATGTAGGCCAGTCACGACGCCTTGTAAATGAAGATCCGCTCGATTTCGTTCCAATTCTTCCAAGCCTTTTCTAATAGGGAGACGTATCGCCGCCCTCCGTGCACGGGGGTTGCGTGGATCACGACGGAATGGTGGAGAATTCTTGAGATCTCTTACTGGGATATGTGGGATACGTTTCGTTATATCAAAAAATTACGGTAAAAATGTTATTTTTATTTTCGAGTATCGGGATGAAAAATTGTTGGATTTTTGAAGAGAATGGAAGATTTCGTTTTAATCAGGTATGAATATCTTTTTGTTTAAAAATTATAACGTATATTATCTTATGGATAATGAGACGAGAAAATTGAATTTTCGGAAAGAGTTGGGGTAATTTTTTAATAACTAGAAAGTTTATTTAGAAAGGAAGAATTGTAATATATGGTAGATTATAGGATATTCTGTATCTGTGTTGTTCAACAGGATAGAAAATTGAAAAAGCTTTGCAATAACAAAAAAAAAAGAGTAAAATTGTGTAATATACATAAAAAAATATTTCGCATCGTTGGATCGCAGATAAAAAATGAGCCATTTATTGCAAATTTTGAATCTGCTGCGAATATGAATATACGGAATAATTTGTTTTTTGATAACTACGTAAAAAAATATCAATACACGTTCGATTAAGAAAATAACAATTCAATATTTTATTGTCCAAATAATTATTTTTACGTACGATATTTTTTTGACAATTAAAAATTTATATATAGGTTAGATAAAAAAAAAAAAGGTTTAACTAAAATTGTCTAATTTAATCTAATTTGTCTAAATTAATTAGAAAATAAATACTCTAAATGACATTGCAAAGTTTATATCTAGTATAATTTCGTTATACTAGATTCGATAATGAGGATGGACGTTATTACACACATTAAGATTGATAGAAAATCGAACGAGGAGGGCGAACTTGTCGCGGTTTCCTGTCTCTACGTTCACGAGGATTCGCGAATAATTTAACTTAGCCGTTGGAAGGAATATTTGAGCCGCGCTCGTTCCTACAATTTAATTAGATAATGCGTTTCAGAAGACGTGGTGTTTGCTTTAGTCGAAAATCGAGCGCACAATTCATCAAACTTTGCAAACATTGAAGATATCAAATCACGTTTCATCCAATGGTAAAAAAAAAAAAAAAAAAGAAGA